TTGGGGGTGGGTGTAAAATCATTAACAACATCAGCTCAACATCTGTTGGCTCAAATGGAGTTAAAATGTACTCCAGAAAACTTAGTTACTGCTTTGATTGCTAAACACACACAAAACTCTATAAATGCTTTGGTTTTCACAATAATGTTGTTCTGTTGATGTACCCCAGCTGTGGAAATTCAGTACAGTCAGACTCCTTGGCTTCTAAAACCCATTACAATATCTGGGTTTGCTTGGCTGAAATTGTTATATACCTGCAAAAATGTCTCATGGTACCCGTTGTTGTCTTAGCAGACTAACTGTTCCTTCCATCCCCACAGGATTTAATAGGCCACCATCCTGCACAATGTATCCATAAAGGTATATTCCCCTTGATGAAAACTAATGATTCAGTAAACCTTCTAAGACAAAATTTAATACTTTGACATTTTCCTTAGTGGGTATCCCTAGACTGGCTGTCGGGACTTACAAGACCACTATGAAACAGGCCTGTGCTATGGTAAAAAAAAATATTAATCATACCTTTATGGCAATTAATATGCTTATTGTGGAACAAAAACATCATCATCAAGCTATTCTTGAAAATCAGGCCACAATTGATTATTTGTTATTATTACATCATAAAAGATGTCAGGAGCTTAATAATATGTGTTGCTTCAATTTAAGTGATAATAGTAATTCTATCTCAAAGAAGTTAGACTACTTTAAAGATATCATTTAAAAGGTCCAATAAGATGCTGGAGGTTTAGACTTATTGGATTGGCTAACTTCTTGGTTACCCAACTTTACTTGGGTCAAACTATTCTTCATAAGTGCATGTTTATTAATACCAGGATTCTTATGTTGTGCTTGCTGTTGGCAATACTTACCCTATTTTTTGCCTCCACCAGCATTAAAAAGTAAACAAATATTATTTATCTGAAAGGCCTTTAAAAAAACAAAAAAAGAAGGGAGCTGTAGAAGTTCTGTGCTTAAGATTGGAGTAGCTGATGACTTCAGGGTTGTGGCATGCTTGGTGCCTGGGAAAGTTTCCATGCAAAGGCACAGGATGCCTGGTTGCTATGGCAATGCCTTCCATGCTAAGAGTCTTATCAGCTTTGACCTTAATATTAGGTACATAATTCCTTGGAATAAAGGAACTTGCTTGCTTGATAACTTTGTTTCCCCAAGCTCTGGTGCTCCTGGATCTGCCTGCCTAACAGTAACTTCAAACAGTGGACTTTTTTGAAAGCCAAAAAGAGCTCCTAACATTACATATTGTAACTGTAAAATGTAATTGCAGAATAAGCAACCTTACTGACACTCTAAACAATAATGTAGTTATGGTATCAATGACCTAATGTAACCTATTGGTATAAATAAATGTGGCTTGAGGATGGGGATGTGGCTCAAGTAGTAGCATGCTCTCCTGGGTTTGATCCTCAGCACCACATACAAAGAAAGATGTTGTGTCTGCCAAAAACTAAAAAAATAAATATTTAAAAAATCCTCTCTCTCTTTCTCTCTCTCTCTCTCTCTCTCTCTCTCTCTCTCTCTCTCTCTCTCTCTCTCTCTCAAAAAAAAAAAAATAAATGTGGCCCCTTGGACAAGGGGCCATTCTGCAACCTTCCCTGCCTCTGCACCTTATCTCTCCATCTCTCTTTATTATTATTCTTTACATTTAGTTTGAATGTTAGGGAAGCTTTGGGAGAAGAAGTAGGTCATGAATAGTTTGGGCCATTAGGTGACTCCGGATCTAAACTGGTATATTGAAGTAAGGCCTGAGTCAGGTGATTTAGAAAGAAAGAGTGTTTTTTATTTTTATCCAGAATGACTTTTAGAGTTTGTAATAATTGATGGCTTCATAAGCTGCCCTTTTAAAACCTGCCAGTAGGCAGGTAATGAAATGGTCCCTTCTTATCTGACCCCCCAGGGGAATTATAATCCCAATTGGGATCTCTATCAGGAACTGACTCTGTGCCAATAGAATGAGTGGGGGTAGTTTGGTAGTTGTGGGCTTGTTCCCAGACTCATCTGCACTCCTCTGGGAGGAGGGTGTTGGATAAGATCATGTGCATGTCATGAAAGGTGTGGTTGTAGGCCTGTGTTATGTATTGTAACTCCTTGGTATATGGGGCAGGGTTGGAGGTAAAGGACTCTACATGTTTCTCAACTTGGACTCTGATTAACCCCCTCAGACCTGGTGACTTGATGGTGAGGGAGTAAAGGGGCAGGCTCTCGAGTGACTGTGCGAGACCAGGAAATGGGAGGGCTGAAAGACAAGAACATTTAGAATAGAAAAATTTGTACATACAAAATTTCTTTTTCAGCTTGGATAGTGAAGGCTTTAGGGCAGGTGGAGGAGTGGAGGTCACCGAAGCTGGCTCAGAAGCTTCTTCCCCTCACTGCTGGCACAATTCCTGTACAAGAGTGCAGGAGTATTGATTGACCTTGAGGGGCCTAAAACCTGGGTTAGAACTCATAATTATCTTGCCTTTTAGTGGAGACAAGAAATAAGGCAATCTTAAGCTTTCCATTGAGCAACAATTTATAAAAATCACATTTATAATGTTTATCACATTTATGTTAAATCTGATTTACCCATTTTTAATTTAGGATACTCATGAAAAGCAAGTTTAGTTGACATTTTAAGTTATTTTTTCTGTTGAAGAAAAATCCTAGAAGTGATGGACATTAGAAGCAATGGACAGTATGTTTAAAACATTCAATTGAAACTGATATTTCCCATTGTTTGGTCATCTGGAAAGAAAGTGTGAGTTAGTTGATAAACCCAGCCTAATTCCCTCTTAAGATCAGGAGCCATCTTGTCACAAGTTATAAAGGATTTATTTCTGTTTTCTGTAAAGTATTAGAATTTCTATTTAGCCTGGCCCCATTTTGATGTTTTAAACTTGCTCAGAATGCCCGCCTGTGCCTTGAACTCACCCATGCCTGGCTTTCCCTGACCAGATAGCAACCTGTCTGAAACTTCAGTGGTGCCTCATAAATTCTGGTTTTCCCAGGCCAGAATACAATCCTCTCTGAAGCTCTAATGGTGCCTCATAAATTCTGATGTTGGGATCTAAATTTACTCCCTAAGTGCTGGACCATTTAGACCATTAGCCAGCCTTTGTGTTATACTTGTCAAAATTCTGTTATCTATAAGTTAGACACCTCTCCTTTTGTAACTTTCTGTACTATAAAGCTGCGCTCCTAGAGAGCTTTGGGCTGTCTTCTATTCCCACGGATTTCAGAAGAGACATCCCCAGCTGGTCGGAATTACAATCTTGCTTTAATTTGATTTAAATTGGAATAAGTAGTCTTTTCTTTGCATGGTTTAACATTAGTGATTTTGAAGACATCATTACCTTTGTTTGTTTACCCGATTTAAATTGAACTTTAATTTATGTAAATTAAAGGCATTTGGATTCATTTTTGAATTTTAGTTCATGAGTGTTCTATATGTTGGTTCTTATAGATACATATATGTAGTCAAGACAATACACAGAACAAATGAGTAAAGGCTTTTTAACTTTTAAAACTTATTAGATTAAGAGCCAACTTTTGTAAATTGGCATAATTGGTTGATAATTAAGCTTAGAGGACTAGAAGATACTTGAAATGTTTTATTATGCTGGGCATGTGGGTGAAGTCAATTTGCCAATTAGTGGTGGGTAAATGTCCTCTTTCCTGGTGAGTTTGAAAGGAGGAAGGATTAATGTTAGAGGAAGAATTTGTTTTTTGACATATCTCACAGGAAGAAGAGAGGTCTTGGAGGAATTTGATATAATCTGGGGTGAGCTTATTTGAGAAAGTCCCTTGGACAGGTTAGGATGAAATAAGTGGTGTAGATAGGTGAGGATGTAAGAGGTATCTCTGGTAGTGTCAGAGGGTATAGATGTGTTTGGGGGCAGTGTCTGGGAGTGTAGAAAGAAGAATGGGGTTGTATTTTTCATTGGGGAGGGAAGAGAGAGCTGCCTGCTAGGCTGTTGCTGTCTGTAATAATGGAATTATCTAATAGGATTTACAATGTACTATGCCATTAGAAGAAGGGAGGAGGGTTATAGGTTCCTTGTTTGTCTAGAAGTAGGGTCTCTGGAGGAATCCAGAGTTTCAAGGGCAAGTAGAAGCTGGGCAGGGCAGCAAGAGGAGCAAAGGGAAGGCTTAGAGTGGAGAAAGGAGAAAGCCTGCACATAAAGAATTTCCCTCCATTTACCCAAACTCTGGCAAAAATTATAAAGATGGCATAAAAATATCAGGACCAAAGATATCATAAGGTGGCCATTTATATCTTTTTTTGTAAATCATAGAAGGGCCATGACTGAGTGGAAATTCGAATTAGTCAATGGGCCTTTAGATCTGGAACCAAATGGAGGGGGACTAAGTGGGTGAGAAGGTGACCAAGTGATGAGTCAGATGGGAATTTAGGACTCAGACTGGGAGTTCCCCATGAGAAGTTGGAGTGCTGGAGTGGCTAGAGGCAGGCCTCCTTGATCTAGGCCAAACCAGAGTAGGAGATGGAACAGTGAAGGGGGGTTGTCACCACACGTTCACTGGCTCGGAGCTAACACCTTTCTGGGATTGAGAGAAGGCTGTCATCACCCACTACTTCCCTAGACCTAGGCTTTGCCAATTGAGAGTCTTGGTGCCTGGCAATGGCCTTCATGAGCTCTGCTGAGGAGCTGAGAACCAAGACCTGAGAGTGAACTCGCCAAGGGGAAAAGATGGGAAATTCGCGAGTCTTGGTGCTGGGCCAAGATCTAAGTCTCTAGAGAGGAGACTTGTCACTGGAGAGGAGACTTGTGAGGAGGAGGATAGGGGAAGGGCAAAATCACTTACCTCAAATGAGGCTGGTGGGGAGATGCAGAAAAAGAGTGCTTGGTGAATGGAAGAAAGTGTGTGGTAACTGCCCTGGGCCCTCAGGCCAGGATCCCAAAGCATCCCAAATCCCCAGAGAGGAGAGTGAGGCTGACATAAGAACCAATGGAAGAAAAGTGGCGCAGGACTGATCACAAACACACCTGGGATAAGAAGCAGATTTATTGTCAGGAGCCTGATGAGTCTGCGCTGCACAGAGAGAGGGACAGCAGCAGCACAACTCCCCCTGGAACGTTACCTTTTATGGGTAGAATCCTGGCCACATGTAAGGGACAGGGTTAGTCTTGACTGACATAGTGAGCACCCCCTGATCTTGTGGAAGGCAAGTTTGTTTCTTGAGAACAAAAACAGGCTATTTTCCTATCTCTCAGAAGGGGTAACAGGGAAACTGGCATGTCCCTTTATCTTCCCAAGGAGAGAACAAGGAAACCTGTACATCCCATCTCAGGGGCTGGTAGGTTGTCTCCTATCTGTCAATGAGAGAACAAGGAGAGACTCACAGGTCTCCAGACCTTAAGTTCTATCTCAGGCTAGTTTCTATTTCTTTGGAATAAGAACAATATGCAATTTGGGGGGAAGGAAGATGGCTGCAATCATGCCAACACTGCGGAGGTGCTCTGGACCCCCAAGTGGACTGTGCCTCCTCCTGCATGCAGGGTGCGTATGAGCAGTGCAGGCTGGCTGCAGAGTGGCCAGGAGGAGATCTGTGTTCTTGGAGGTGCTGCTGGCTGGAGCGGCTCAGCTCAGCTGGGAAATCGCAGGGCTTCTGACTGGCTGAGAAAATGTTTCTCAGAGACTCTGTAGATAGAAAGGAATGGCATACAAATTTAATTTAAAAATATTAAAAGAAAGTTTTTTTTTTTAAAAAAAAAGAAAGATGAGATGAGAAAGCAGCACCGTCCTGTAATGGGTTGTCCCAGGAAGGACTGCTGTTAAGCATTCAGGTGATACCCAGCAGCAGTGCAGGAGCTTCCCACTTCTCACATCCTTTCTCCATCTCCACCCACTCTACAAGCACAGCAGGACCACTGGTCACCCAACTCTTGATGCCCTGGAGTAGCCCCAGGAGGTCTTCTGGCCTTGGCTCAGTCAGCCCCTCAGCAGGGAAGACCCCAATCCACTGCAGTCTTTGATGGTTAGGCCCCATCAGACTGGCTCTGGAATGCCCTACGGTGTTTGTGACCCATACTCCTCTTTCCTCCCCTCTAAGCCTCCCAGGATCAGCAAAGCTCTCCCATCCACCCCCCAAAATAAACAAAACCAAAAACAAACAAACAAACAAACCCAGAAACAAAACCCCATGTGTGATACAGAATCTTCATCTATGTTCCGGGAACCGCTTCTTTGTGATCATCTTCCCTGGGTCCCTTTAGGGGAAAGCTGTCTGTCGGGAAGTTATTTCCTGCAACCTGAGGTCAATATTCAAACTGTGTCCCTCCCAGTCTGGTCTTGATCCTGCAGACTTTATGCTGGGTATTTTTGTCTGGATTATGTGAGCAATAAAAGGTGGCAGAGGAAATAAAAAACCAGGGGTAGCCAGAGGGTTAAAAAGAGAGACAGCTGGATGTGGCGGTGCTGTTGTTATCTCAGCACTCAGGAGGCTGACATGGGAGGAAGGCAGGACCCCAGGAGCTCGGGCCAGCCTAGGTAATACCAGGAGAACCCATCTCAAAAACAGAAAGAAAAACAAATTTTCTCTAAAGAAAGACTCCATCTGCCACAAAACTCCTTCCAGCTGAAAGCAAGGCACAAGTGTTGTGGTGGGTCCCTATGCACCACTTTCTAAAATGAAAAGCCACCCTCTGGATTCAGTGTTGCTGAGTCCAACCTGCTGCTGACTGATGAGGACAGTTCTAGCAAGAGGACAAGGTGCGTTTTATCCAGAGTATTCTAAAGCAGCAATGGGAACATGCTGGCAAGGGATCTGGGAGCAGAGAAAAGCACAAGAACAGAAGGGGCTTAGGCCGAGGGGGACTACGGAGATGGACAGTAAGGAGCCATGAAGAGAAGAGGAAGAAGATTCCTGGCCAAAAGGCCAAGCAGCATCGAGGAGGACAGAGAGGACCACTTGCTAGGATTTATGTACAAGAAGCAGCAGCAGCTGGGCAGCAAGCTGTGCACCCACCCGGACCCGAGGGAACCACATAAGTTTCTGAGGATTTGGAACCATGATGTGGTGCATGCAGGCAGGCAAGAAGATCTGCTAAAGATGCAGGGCAGGATCCACTGGGACTAATTTACTTTATGCCCAGCACCTAACCCAGTGCCTGGGACACAGCTATTAAGTATATTTATTTGACTTGAGCAATTACTGTTCCCTAAATGCAGTCATTCATTACAACCAATAAGCAACTTCTTTAGGTTAGCTGTGGGCCCACCTTCCTTTCTCTAAGTCTTTAAATCAGTAGAACCTGGGGGTACAGCTAGACTGCAGGCCAGCAGTGACTGTGGACTGCTGGAAGAGACCCCAAGGATGCAGGAGAAAGGGTGCAGGTCAGAGGGCCCAGGGACCAACCTGGTCCCTGTGTGCTCTGCAGTCGCACTTCCATGGTGACTATGGCCCCCAGGCCTGGAAATCCCCTCTCCTGGTCGCCACCCACACAAACTTTGAAACTGGTTGAGCTTCCCAGGGAGGCTGGTGGCGGAGGGTCTGTGGAGTAGGCACCCCAGGTTCTCACGTGCGGCCCTCCCACCCCCTTGATTCACCCATCGCCCGCATCCACCCATATCGGCCTATACTTACATAGCCTCACAACTCTTTCTCAGGCGGCAATTTCCTCAGCCAGCCATAGTGGAGCACCTGCCACCCCCCCACCCCACAATACTGCCAGCCTCATGCTAGGCACAGCGGGTTGGGTAAGGGAGGAAGAAGAGACACCGTACCCCTGTGTGCGCATGCACTCCACAACATGCAGACACGACCCCACAGGTGACCCCAGGCCAGCTTCCCACGCACACAGTAGAAGACTTCCGGGCCCCTGCAGAGATGCCCAGTGACTCCGAGATGGAGGTAGGAGGATGCTGAAGGCCGGCCTCCTCCATCTCGGAGTCACGGGTGCAGCTGGCCCTGTAGAGTGTAGGGAAGGGGCTGCTCCCCCAAATGGCAGAGGGAGTTTTAATAGAGGGTGGGCAAGGAGGGAACCCGAGGGCTGCTTGGCTTCTTGTCCAGTCCCAGAATTTTGAGTTCCAGTGGAAAGCATCTCACTCCAGGCACAGGACGTTCACCTGCTCCATTCTGTTTGTAAAACCGAGTCACTTTCCTGGGCCTGGCTCACCCAGGGCAGGTTCCAGGTCTGCTCCCTTAACTGACTCCTCAATATCCAGCGTGTGGCTGGAGGCAACACCACCAGAGCTGTGAGGGTGTTGCTGGGCCCAGAGATCACCTAACCTTTTGCACAGGGCTGTCAACACCAGAAATCTGGCTTTCAATTTTTAGCTTGGATGGATTCCAGGATCCCTATAGACATCAAAACCCAGGATTGGGCTGGGGATGTAGCTCAGTGCTCGAGGGCTTGCCTAGCATGGGTGGGCACTGGATTTGATTCTCAGCACTGCAAATTAATTGATTAATTAATTAAATGTCCATTGACAACTAAGTTAAAAAAAAAGTATGTTTAAGTCCTTTATAGGAAATGGTATTTGCAAATAACCTATACACACCCTTTGAAGCAGGTCAGAGATCCCCACCCAGAAGACCCTTACCATAATTAAGCAGAAACCCCTACCATATTTGTGGCATGTAAGTTCCTCTTTTTATAGCAGAGCTTTTTGCACAGGACATCAGCTGTCAGCAAAAATCTGCAGAAGGCATTGTGGTCTGTAGCTTCCTCCTTTTTAAGAGAAATGCCAGGTTTGCAGAAAAACCTTGTGAAACTCCTGTGTGTCTAGAGGATGGAATGAAAATCACTTGTCATGTGAGCCTCCAAGCCCTCCCTCACTCCATGGGTATAAAGTTCAAAGAATTCTATATCATTGTCCATGGGAGAATTTTTAGGTGAGAGCACCTTTGGACACTGCAGTCAATAAACCTGCTTCCTGAAAATTCCTAGGGTGTTCAGCCTCTTCTGTCCCACTTCACTTGGCATACCAGTGGGACAATGGAAGTGAAGATATCTTTTCCACCTCTTTTGTCTCTAGGTATGGCTTCCACGGGACATCAGAGGACAACACTTCTTGGTACACCACAGGCTACTCTTTGCCTAGGCAAGGTAACTCCATTAGCACCCTGGAGCTGCTACCCCAGAGCACAACAGAACCCATGAGGAACAGGAACCAGAGTATTTGGAGCACTGCCCAACTGTACGGGTAGGACCCAGGTCCATTAGTGGTAGGACACTTGACTTCCCCATAGAGGCCTAAGCAGGTGGAAGAGAGGCTTAATTAATCTCTGAGGTCCTGAGTAACCTCCAAAAGGAGTTGGAGACAAAAAAGGACCCAGGGAGTAGACCAATTAGTCTCTATTTGGGATCAGTGAGCAGAGAGAAAACTGTGACTCCCATTCTTGGTAGTGGAATTGTGGAATTTGGGGGATTTGGGTGGTATAGAAATTTTGTTCTGAACATGTCTGTGTAAAAGTGTATGAAATTGTGTGAATGAGATGGAAAAGGGAAAGTTCTGACCCGCCCAAGGGCCTAAGTAAGTGCTGAGTTCCAATCAGTGATTCTGTAGTGCATGATACAGTCTGTGGCAGATTTCTACCAACACCCAGGTGGAAGCTCCAGGTCGGGGGTTGACTGACTTGCAAGACTAAGAGGACCTTAAGTCCCTGGAAGAAGAATGGCAGGACATGGACAAAGCGAGTCTTGTCCTAAGTGTGTGACACTGATATGAGTTGGAACATCGGAGACACTCAAAGGAAACTGAGTTTTTTGAAATGTATGTTAGAAATCTTTAAGAAAGGTTTTGTTGGTAACTACAGGGTGAAATTCACTCCACAAAGGTTAAGGAAGTTTTTAATGGTAACTATGGGGTGAAATTCACTCCACAAGGTTATATACTTTGCGAATTAGAATAGCCAGCCTTTGTGGTGTGGTGGCTACCAGAAGAATCTTTACATAAATGTGCCATTGGTGAGGTTCTTTTAATAGTTGTCAGAACATCTGGAAAACCAGACCAATTATCTTATATTGATTGCTAGCAACAGGTAGTGCAGAAACAGCTCCCTTGGGTGAAAGCTTGTCTGGAAGGACATTCCAAGCAGATATTATGATGGCCTCTAAGACCCAACTAAAGGGAACTATGTAGAAGAAAACCTGACAAAGAAAAGACAGAAATAACCCCCTCCATGAGCCACAATAGAGTCTTCTCCAGAGCTAAAGAATCCTCCACCCCCTGGACACCAACGCAGGAAACTTGCTCCAAGACCTGAGCCACAACCCAGATGAGAGCTCTCCAGATATCCCTACAAGAGATGAGAGGAGCTTCCTATGTTGACCAGGAGGGAAACATCTGAAGGGAAAAATGCAGTTTTGCATGCCAGCCTTTCACCACCAATGATCTCTTGAACTGGAAAAGTCATACTCCCTCCTAAACAGAGAAGCTCTGCACCATGATTGGTATGCAGCCCATTATCCAGACCCACCAGCCCACCTGGGTAGTTGGAAGGGTGCAGAGGGGTGACCTGAGCAGTTTTAAAGTGGCTAGAGGAACATGCTCTGGACACACAAGGCAACATACAAGCCTATGCCCAGGTCCAGGCCCAGGGCCCCAACACAGACCCGAGTGGAAACCCAACAAAAAGGAAGATGTCATAAAGATAAAGATAATATACTAAGCCCTCATAGGTGGCTTAAAGGAAGGGGAAAGAAAGCTCTAAACATGAACAAGATATCAGAAGTACTCCAAAAGCCTGATGAAAGCCCCAGCCAGCTCTATGAATGACTGTGCAAGACCTTTCTACTCTTCACTCCCTTTGATCCTGGGACACCAGATAACCAGCGGGTGAAACAACCCAGAGAGACATTCACTGAAAACTCCAAAAACTTTGCTGGACTTTTCAGGGGAAAAAAATGCCAGGGTGCTGATTAAAGTGGACACCACAGTTTTCATCAACCAAGACCAAGAGGATCAACAAGAGGCAGAACAGAAGATAAAAGAGAGGACGGATCTCCTTGTAGCTGCCCTCACTGAAAACCCAGAGGTCACCCAAAGTGGGGTTCCCAGCAGGACAAAAGAAAAACAAATGTCAAAATTGGGCCAAATGCAGGACAGAAGGAAGATCTGGATGGAGGGGACCACTTCACTGGGGACTTAGCTGAGACAGCCAATGTACCTACTACCATCTAGTGGCACATTGGAAGAAGGAATGCACCCCACAGAAGGCCAGTTGACCTGAACCAGGCTGCCATAGGGCTTCAAAAACTCACCAATCAGGGCTGGGGATGTGGCTCAAGCGGTAGCGCGCTCGCCTGGCATGCGTGCGGCCCGGGTTTGATCCTCAGCACCACATA